CTAGAGAGCCGCAGTCCTGCAGAGTTCAGCTCCAACCCTAATCAAACACACCTGAACAAGCTAATCAATGTCTTCAGGATTACTAAGGCTATAGGCAGGTGAGCTTTTTTTTTTTCAGTGTTGGAGCTGAACTCTGCAGGACTGCGGCTCTCTAGGACCGAACTTGCCTACCCCTGGTATAACCAAACAAGGTCTGTGATTAATTGTATTCTCAGATGAAATACTCACAAACACACACACACAAAAGCACAGCTGAGGTTGCGTACCAACTGGAGCACAAATTTTAAAAAGATTATAAAGACCAGTTAGAATGGATAAATTCTTCATATTTTGTTTGTGTAATCTGTTTACTTTGTTTTGCCTCAAACGATGAGGTCATAGCAGAAGAACACGTTGCATTTTATAGACTGCTTTATCAGCAAACTGCGGCTGTTGAAGCCTCTTGCACCTGAGAATGCCCTGTAGACGCTTTGTGTGTTGCTGTGGGCTAATCGTGACTGGTGTTTATACCATTTTGAAATGCTAATGTACTGAAAGTTATGCAAATGCCTTTTATTTGGAGAAAGATGTCCTTCACGTACAGCCTTTTTGTAAAAACAAGTTCATATTAAGCCAGGAATTGTGCTGGAGTCTGCTTTTATTAAGTGTATATTTAATCCATTTCTGTGTTCGTGAAACTGTAGTCCCAGTGTCATTTGCTTTTGACAGGTGCCTTGTGTGCTTTGCAGTTGCAAGAAGAACCTGCACTGGTTTTATGAGGGAACACTGTGTCCTCCTATTGGTTTAGGTCACCACCTACAAGAAACCTGATCTCAGAGGGTGTGGTCGCATCAAACGGATTCACATCTGTCCGAACTATCGCATGAGGAGATCACATATCATCTCTGCTGTGACCATAGTTTGACCCTGAATTCTAAATATGGCTGCTAAAGATTAAGGCGTCAGCTGCTGAGAACACATACAACCAAGTTTGGGGTGAAGGGAGCACCGTAAGTGATCTGATGACATGTATGCAGCGTCAGTCAAGACTTGGCAGTAATCTAATTTTGTTTTTGAATGGGACTTTGGACTCCAGGAGGTCTACCCTCTGCCACTGTATAACTTCACCTCCACGCAGGATCACTGGTTCTCCTATCATGTAGCACCTGCTGACCACTGGAAGGAAACTTTAATGACTGACAAGAATCCTGCTGGATAAGCAGTAGCACACCTGGTCTACAGGCATTTAGGATTCTGCATAAGGGAAGCTAAAATTAAATGCAGAGGTTTCTAGAAAGTTAGCAGCAGAGACGTCATGCCCATTCATATTACTTGGTTTATGTTATTTAACAAAACATACATTATTTTGTTCTTAATCTCAAACTTTAAATGAAACACAATACCACCTGACTAAATTGTAATAGATAAAAACGATATGTTTATTTATTTATTTTTAAAATAATATATTTATGTAATTTTGTTGTAGTACCGCTGATATTTGTATAAGTGCTGTAGTGGTTTTGTTGCCATGTTTTTTGTGTTAGGAGAAAATTATATCCAAGGGGGGAGTTTTATCCCAGAGCCTTTATCCCCATTGTACCCTATTACAGAGAATATGTGAAAGCTTATGCTGAGTTCACACTGCACGATTTTAGCCCGATTTTTCACTCGCCGACAGGTCTTGCGAAATCGCCGACAAATGCCAGACATCGGAGGCAAATCGGTGCTCGTTCACGCGAGTGACAATCACGCAGTATGAATTATCAAAGACGCGACCTGAGAGAATCGCCGACACGTCGCCGACGGCCGCGAAATATTTAGCATGCCAAATATTTCGCGGCCGTCGGCGACGTGTCGGCGATTCTCTCAGGTCGCGTCTTTGATAATTCATACTGCGTGATTGTCACTCGCGTGAACGAGCACCGATTTGCCTCCGATGTCTGGCATTTGTCGGCGATTTCGCAAGACCTGTCGGCGAGTGAAAAATCGGGCTAAAATCGTGCAGTGTGAACTCAGCATAAGCTTTCACATATTCTCTGTAATAGGGTACAATGGGGATAAAGGCTCTGGGATAAAACTCCCCCCTTGGATATATATGAACAATTATATCATACAGACACAAGCACAAACATTTGCGTGACCAGCCACAACATCAGCATAACAGTTACTGCAAAATTACTGTCTTTGCAGAACACCCAATCCCTGTTCCCTGCATCTCCCTCCTGCATAATCTGTTTTTCTCCTTGTAGCTGGAAATCAGCTCACATATAGTTTGCGGGCTATATATATATTTTATAATTCCAGTCTCGCTGGAGAACTCCGCTTTCACACGGGACGCGGCAGTCGCGAGTGTCTAGTACATTCTCAATGGGAGACATGCAGAAAGCGGCAGAACGCGGGCGGTTTCGCTGGCGGTGCGGAGGCGGAGCGCAAGCGGTGCTCGTGCACCCAAAATCCTGCCGCTTCCACGGGCACGGCGCTTCGCGGCAGGTGCAGCCAAAGATACAAATATTGGATCTTTTTGTGAGCGGCAGCGGCAGCCGCGTTGGTTTCAACCAATCAGTGAACATGTAACTGAACTGCCTATTGGAAAAATAGAGAAGATTGTTTTAAGTATAATAGATTTCCCAGAACTGTATGACCCATCTAAAATCACATACAGAGACATAAATAAAATTATATTTCATTCAATCGTAACCTCACAGGTATGCTCTTTAGGCAAATCAACAAAAACGAAAAAAAAGGTAAATAATGACATCAATTAATGGCAGAATGACACAAACACAAATTTCCGTTATGTTTTATTGCTAGTCGTGCAGTGTGAAAACCACGGTGACCCGACGACTTTGAAAATCGTGCAGTGTGAACTCGGCATTAGAAGAAATTCTTTAAAAAGTTACAATTGAAAAATGTATTAAAATGAATAATAAATAGAAATATGTATAAATATAATAATAAATACAATTAATAGTAACAATAAAATATTTAAAGCTGAATGGTCAAAGGGGAAAGGTAATGACGTGCAGCACACAGATGGTAAACTTTTTACAAATTAATTATTGTCATAAAGCTGAAATTTAATTCCATTATGTTTGTTTAAATATATCTCAATTCCTGACAATAACACAACAGTATATTTACAGCGTATTCTTTACCACAAATGGCTTAAAATCGACATGAACACAATAGAACAGTTAAAATTTAAGGTGACAAGGCGACTGTGACCCAGTGTCTGGCCCGCCGGTTATGCACGGTATGCGCGCTACTATCTCTCCGCGTTGCTTCACGTTGTCGCTGTCACGGTAACACCTGCCAGCTTCCTTTTGCAACGCCGCCACCCAACCCTAATCGGTAACAACGCCTGTAAACAGATCCCTCTCACGCGCCTACCCTCTCAGAACGCTTGAGAGAGTGGAGCTCGAGCGCGCAGAGTTATCTATCACTGCCTGCCGGACAGTCCTGAGGATCTTCACGAGCTGCACCTCATAGCCTGATCAACCCTACAAGGACGCGCCTTTCTGTTTATTGGAGGTATTTTAAGGAGTTAACTTTTTTTTTTTTTTTAAACAAATATTTTGCTTTCGTTTTTAAATGAAACGTAGACGAGCCTGGACTTCCATCTGCGTTCTTTTACGGGAAGTAATCATTTGACAGGAAAAAAAAAATCGGATTAACTGGAAAACTTCAGCTGGATTTCTATGGATGACGTCTTGACATCTAAGGCTAAACAAAAAACAACAACAAATAAACAAACAAACAAACAAAAAAAGCTATAAGTGCATCACAGAAGATGAGGAACTAATTAAGACTCACCACAATTTGATGTAGCCTATAAACTGAAGAACTTCATGTGGGATGCATTTCCGCCTGTTTTGAGGCTGTTAAACCAGGTAACGGATTGATGTTAAGAATACTTTGATCGGTTTTAAAAGGTTTCAAAATAAAATTATTGCTGATATATATTTTAAGTGGCCTTCAGAAATTATAATCACCCTATGTAGGGTTCATTTTAAATCACAGCACACTCAAGGGCAAACCTTTTGTTTACTCTAGGGAACAGATGTAATTTAGAACATGTCAAACACATGCCACTCAATTATTTTCTCTATCAGACAACTGTAATGGAGAACGGCCTCTCAGGGAAAAGTTTTTTGATGGCCCAATTACGGGATCCACATGAGACGTGATATGGCCTTAATTCAAGATACAAAGAGCGGATTCAGATATTAATATTTTCTGCACTTATACACTACATGCAGATTATTTCTAGACCAGTCCTTATGTTAATGTGTGTCCTCCTGAATGTCTGTGCCAGTGTCAGCTCCCAAGTGAGAAAAGCATGCGTTAGGCTAGATATCTTAGATGTGTTAGACACCTAACTAAGTGCTGTTCCTCTGTGACCTAAAACTAGTTCGTGTGTTTAGGCCACAAGTGTGTAAATTGACAATAAAAAATATTAACCTCCATTGAATATTTTTGTATTTATAATAGTAACACTTTACAATAAGGTCCATTAGTTAACATTAGTTAACTACTTTAGTTAACATGAACTAAGCATGAACAATACTTCTACAGCATTTATTAATCTTAGTTAATGTTAATTTAAATATTTAATAATGCATTATTAAAATCAAAATTTGTGCTTGTTACCATTAGTTAATGCACTGTGAATTAACATGAACTAACTATGAACAACTGTATTTTCATTAACATTAACAAAGATTAATAAATAAATGTATTGTTCATTGTTTGTTCATGTTATGAACTAACATTAACTAATGGAACCTTTTATTATATATATTTATTTCCATGATGATGATAACAAAACAATCTCTAATCTAAAAGAGCTAAATTCATTCGAAATAAAATAAAAATAAAAGAAATCAGAATCAATCCATCTGGTGAAGTTCACTGTTAAATCTAAGAAAGAATTGAACGTCTGTTGTTCTCTAAAATTACACAAAAGAACCAGGATGGCTGTGGTAAAGGAGTTATTGATTTGCACACTTCATAAATCTGTTAATTGCTCATTGTGAATTGTTCAATAACAATTAAGATCAACAAGAAAAACATTTTTGTAAAGTGATATTATAAGGAGAAAATCATTATCTTCATTTTTATGTTTGTTTGTTTGTTTGTTTTTTTCAGACAGTGGAACGCATGATTTTTACAAGAAACTTCTGATGTAAAGAGCAGATGACCAGTAAGGAAGCTGAACAAGAAATCTGCAGTCTTCTGTTCTGTCAACTAACTGCAAAAACTACCAACAGCCTTGTTGCAAGTTGAATTACTTGCAAATATTGAACTTTTCATTCAGCTGACTAAATGTGATCTAACCTGCTCTCAAAGAAAGCTTGATTTCACAGTGGAAGCAGGTTGTCTCTGACATAAAGAGATGAAACGAGAACGTTTTAAGCCCCCGGAACCAGATGACCCTCTGTGCTGCTGTGGAGACATCGACCAGCAAAGAGATTACTGCTGCTGTGACTGTGAAGAACTCGATGATGCCTGTGAAAGGTCAGAGGTCAACCAGGTTAAGATCATGGCATGCAGAGATGGTTTTACATTACATTTGTTGATATAAACTTTTTAAAGTGTAGTTTAATTAAATAATTTTGTCCATTTGCACCTTCATGTTGGTCCAAATTGTTTTTTTTAAATCCTTGTAACCCCTTGTGAAAAAGAAATGCTCTTAATTGTAATGAATGTGCCCTTGTAGTGTACTGCAAATCCTAAATGTGTATATTTTAAAAAACTGTACTTGCAGATAATATAATATTGACTAAATAAATGGCCACCTAAGTGTAAAGCATTTTAAACAGTGTGCTTTGTAATAATGTCAAATTAAAATCATGTTTTAATAATCCTTTGTCGTTCTGTAAAGTACACAGTATTTTAATGTGCTGACTGACATACTAAGGCACATGTAAAGTACTTGATTATAATTTTATCTGTAGTGTTTTATTCAATACTACATTTAAAGTTAATATATTACTAAATTTCAACTTTATTACACGTGTTTTTAAAAATATGTTTAAATACATGACAAAGGCTATTTGTCAGTATATTCGTAAGTACATTTAACCATATTTCACTTTAACCATGTTAGTAATTAGAAAATTAAATATAAAGATATACTTAGGTCCCACTTAATAAAAGCACTATGAACATTTTCTAATTGCATTTAATATAAATTTAAAATATAATTAATTTTGATTTAATTGCAATGAACGTAAGTATCTGAAAACATTACATTCAGTCAGCAGTTAAGTATATTCTTTTAAATTGTATTCATTCTGTAAAAAGTGCTCTTTTTAAAAAAATATTCTGAAGTGTGCTTCTTTTTCACAAGGGACACACAATGAGATCATTTGCAACTTGTCATTTCCACACATAAAACTGATAACATAATAGTGTTTAAATGATGAATGGTGAATTTGTCACTCCTTCTCAATAGGTTAGTCAGAGGAGAGCCAGACAAGCCAGACATCTTCTCTCGTTTCATCTCTTGTATGGCTGATCGTTTGGGTTTGCCATGTTGTGCCATAGGACCCCTTCGATTGGAAATCTCTGTCTTACCTCCCATGGTATTAATTCCTGGCCTGTTGCGAGTAGCAGCAATTAACTGTATGTTGGGAGTTGTAGTCTTAACTGTCCTACCAGGACTGGTGCTTTGGTATTACTACGTGACTCACAGAAGGAAAAGACGCACATTGTTTTTCCTTAGCTTGGCACTTTTCTCCCTTGCCTACATGTACTACCTTTTCCTTACTGAGATAGTTCCCAGAGGAGACGTCAGTAATCTGCAGCTGGTTACTGTGACGACAGGCATGATGTTGACGCTTATCTCCCTTGTGCGCACCAAACAAGGACCAGGCTTTGTCAAATCCCAATCATTAGCTCAGGGAATTAACAGTATCTGTACAACCAATCAGAGCACAAACATACCTGGAGACTCCGCCCCCTGCAAAGGAATCAGCCAGTCAAATGGGGAAAAGGAAGGAAAGAAGAAGTTATGCCTTGTGTGCCTACAGGTGCGCCCACCAAGGGCAGGGCACTGCAGGATCTGTGGGGCATGTGTCCTTCGAATGGACCACCACTGTGTTTGGTGGGTTTCTCATTCCTTCTTCTTTAAAAATTGAGTATGAGCACTTCATTCCTAGTGTGAAGTGAATTGAACATTATTTAAATATTCTCTAAAGGACAAAACAATCTATCGTTATACTGCCATTCAAAAATATGGTGTCGGTAAGATTTTTCAAAGTTTTTAGAAAAAGTCTCTTATGCTTACCAAGGCTGCATTTATTAAAAAATACAGTAAAACAGCAATATTGTGAGAGATTTTTACAATTACCGGTAATATAACTATTTTTTTATTTTTATTTTTTTAAATATCTTTTAAAATGTTTTTTATTCATGTGATGGAAAAACGGAATTTTCAGCTTGTTAGTACTATTCCAGTCTTCAGTGTCACATGATTCATTGGAAATCATTCTAATATGCTGATTTGGTGCTCAAGAAACATTTCTTATTATTATCAATGTTGGAAACAGTTGCTGTGCTTAATATTATTATGGAAATACATTGCTTGATTATTTGAAAGTTCAAAAGAACAGCATTTATTAGAAATAGAAATTGTTTGTAATATTATAAAAGTCCTTACTTGTGATCAATTCAATGCATCCTTTCTGAAAAAAATTAATCATTTCTTTTTCAAAAATCTTTCCAACCCCAAATTTTTAAGTGGTAGTGTATATATATATACATATATATGCGGATAGAACTGGATATGGGCAGGGCAGAAATCTGTTGTGTTTCAAAAGTAAATAAAAAGTCACTTTATGGATGTAATTTTATTCCATTTATAGGTTTTGTATAGCAAATATGCCTTGTATAATTTATAAAAGTGTTTATTCTTATATTTTATTCTTTTTTATTATGATGTCTTTTACAAATTTAGACTTTTATAAATTATTATCATATTAAATTTTTTATTATTCAATAATTACTTTAAAACTTTTACATAAAATAAATATTCAAAATCTTAAAAAAGTTCTTTATGAATTGATGATTTATGATTTATGAACAATACTAGGAGAGAGAGCAATGTGGCCATCTGCTTTCATTCATAAAGTTCACATTTTAGCTTCATTTTAGTCATCTCAGTTTCACAGACTTACCATTTCATTGTAATTTTAGATGTTCATTAAAAATATAACTTTACGCTTGTGTTTGTTGGATAATCAGTCAACTGAATATATTTTCTGTTGTTTCAAATATTCATTTTAATGTTGTTATTTGTGCCTTTCCTTATAAGATATTTAACTTATTGCAAATCTCTGCTACAGAAATAGTTTAACAATTCCAAAATGAATTGTTTAAATTAGTGCTCATGCAAATGATTTGATTCATTTTCTGATCTTTTCACACTTGTATGCATGTGTTCCCTACCCCATCAGACACACACATATGTTCAAGCTGATTCCCAAAAGACGTCACTGGAGCAGGCAGGCTGGTGAGACATGTGCAAAGGCCACAGGAACACAGCTTTCAGCACAGTAAAGGGAGCTCTCACCAGGCCAATCTGTCTCCATGCTACTTCAACACACACACAGGCACAAAAAAAAAATGAACATGCCATGAGCCACAGAATTCTAATTAAAGCTACATTGACGAGAGAAAATAGTGTAACTGTTCTAAACTGTTTGAAAGGAAATGTCTTTAAGTGTGTTTAAGTGGCTGCTTATTATTTGTGTCTTTGTATGTATGTGACTTTCCATGACAGGATAAACAGCTGTGTAGGTCAAGCCAATCACAGGCAGTTCATTTTGACGCTCCTTCTTTTCCTGGTGACATCATTCTACGGGATCAGTTTGGTGTTACGGAGTGTATGTCCACGACAGAGTCTATTCACAGCCATGTTATACTGCCCTGGAGTCTATAACCAATACAGGTACACCATCCATTACTTTATATATGTATTTAATGGAAAATATGCACATACACAGTATGTTTTCAGCCTAATGTAACACTTTTGTGTGTGTTTGTGTGTATAGCACAGCGCTGTGCTTTACATGTGTGTGGTACAGCGTTATCATAACAGGCGGTCTGCTCCACCTGTTCATCCTTCAGATCATCAATGTCAGTTACAACGTAACAGAACGTGAAGCTCAGATTGCTTTGCACAACAAAACTGGCAGACGGCGCTTCTGTGGCCTGGTTGTGGAGACTGGCATGTATTCACGAGGCTTCCTCCAGAACTGGATTCAGTTCCTCACAATGAACATGGATGAGAACGGTTCCCCTTTCACCTTCACAGTCATGGTATGAGTCAAGGGACTATAGACATGATCCTGGGTGGTATTTAAACTATAATTATACAAAATGTTAAACAACTAAGCGTCTGGTTAGGCCTAAAGAGTTGGTTGACACATTTACCTTGTTTTCATCTGGTAAAATGTTTAAATTGATGAGCAAACATATTTTTTTAGATTTTTATTCCAGTGGTCATCTGTATGGACATATTGAGTTGGGTTCAATGTGATATGTGACCACAGCCATGTTTTCATGAAATATAACAAAACTCTGCAACTTTATGGCATAAATAACCAAACTGTATGAATGACTACAACTTTATGGCATAAATAACCAAACTGTATGAATGACTACAACTTTATGGCATAAATAACCAAACTGTATGAATGAAACATGCTTAAGTGAAGGGCAACTTTGTAATCTGAGTTGCAATCAAGTGTGTGTGTCTGTGTGTGTGTGTGGTGTGTGTGTGTGTGTGTGTGTTTTTAATGACTAGTGTAAGAAATATTATGAAAACTTGATCTGATGATAGAACCGAGAAAATAAATGTGACATCCTGAAATATTCCTGCATTACTGCAATTAAGAAATGTATAAGTGATTATTAGATATATTTAGGATTGAGCTAAATATTTTAAAGGGATAGTTCACCTGACATTTTTTCCCCCATCCTTTACTCACCCTCATGTTGTTTCAAAGTTCTCTTGATATTTCATAACTATCAGTTAGGACAGGGACGTTGAATAGGAAGAGACAGTGTACAATTTTTTTTCTATAATTTTTATTTTTGGGGTGAACTATCCCTTTAAATCTGAAAAGATTACTTAAGAAGTTTTATCAGCCTGCCAAATGCTAATAATACAAAAAATACATTTTACACCAAATGTATAAATCCTTGTAATTGTAAATATGCTGCTACCTTTGTAGTGTACTCTCTCAGGACAAATGATGTTGTATGAAATGATGTAATTACAGGTTTCTGTGTTCAGTGCTCACTGAACAGCAGTGTTAAGTTATGCTGAGGTGTACTTTACAGTTCTGGATTGTCATCTTAAATTAATGAGCTTTCATATGTGTAAAAACATTAATTAAATGAATCCTGTCATGCACAGTAAATAGACTGCCACTCGCTTTACTAAGAGTCATTAGTTGTGTTGATTACTGTGGAAGGGTCGTGAGTGACCTACCTACCTTTGCAGATGAAAAAGACAGGAAGTGTTTTTAGAGCAATGCTGGCCCTCTTGCCTCTGTGCAACCACAATGTAGATTGAGAGCAAAACAGAAAAAAACGCTTCCTCCTACAAATACGGAAAATAAAGTGAAGCTACAACACTAAAATATTATAATTTTAATTAAAAAAGATTGATATAAGCAATGTAAAGCTTAAATTTATATTTAAACAAATTGTAGTGTACAAAGAGTATCAAAGGTTTAAAATCTCTCACTAATTTAAAAATGGCAAGAATGTACAACAATCACATCTGCTCTGCTATACAGATCTTAGACGTGATCATTCTTTACATTAAGTTTTCTTTTGCATTTTTTTTAAAGATGTGATTTACCCTGCCCCCACCTTATGTGATATAAAGCCATCAGGGCTGTCTTTGTGGTTACAGTCTGTCTATGCTGAGAAATGTATCGGCATCACACGTTTTTTATAGCACAAGACACCATGAGGATTGGACAAACTAATTCTCTTTTGCCTGAACAGCACTGGACCCATCTGTCAATAGTCTTAATAACCCTTATAACAGGTATGTGTGTGAGAGAGTGTATTAGACTGTGTGACACACAGAGAGAGATTTGCTATGTTTTGTTGTTGTTGTTTTTTTGTTTTATATAGGTTATGCTACCGTTCAAAAAATTTGAGGTCTGTAAGATTTTTTGTGAGGTGTTTTTGAACGGAATCTCTTGTGCTCAACAAGGTGGCATTTTTTAAATCATAAATACAGTAAAAACACTAATATTGTGAAATATTATTACATAATAAAATAACAGTTTTCTTTTTAATATTTAAAAAATGTAATTTATTCCAGTGATGGCAAAGCTGAATTTTCAGCAGCCATTACTTCAGTCTTCAGTGTAGCAATGTCCTTCTAAAATGTCATTCTAAAATGCTGATTTGGTGCTCAAGAAACTTTTTTTAAAATTATTATTATCAATGTTGAAAACAATTGTGCTGCTTAATATGTTTGTGGAAACCATGATGCATTTTTTCAGGATTCTTTGATGAATAGAAAGTTCAAAACAATAGCATTTATTAAATATTTCATAACAAGGTGAAGACTTTACAGTCACTTTGAATAAATTTCATCCATCCTTGCTGAATAAAAGTTTTGATTTCTTTAAAAAAAAAAAATGTATAAATCTTACCGCCCTTTTTAAACGGTAGCGTAAAAACCTTTAAATGGTAGTGTATTAATCTTGTGATAAATATAATGAAAATGTACTTTAATGACCTCTGTTCAATTGAACTGAAAAAAAAAAAAAAAAGATTTAAGGAAACTCCGTTAGATACCGGAAGAGAAAGCAAATACAGGTTGAAACGCAGCTAAAATAAAGAACATTTACATTTACTGATTCATTAGGTGTGCTATTTTTATATACTGTTTAAAAACGGATATACTCATCACACTCAAAAAACAAACAAACATAATTTCTGATAAATTATGAAAATTGTTGTTTGGACAATTACATGGTTCTTTTTTTTTTTTTGCACTTCTTTGTGTTTGTTTTTCACAGGGGCCTTGACAGATGAAGATGTGATTAGAGCTCTGTTGGGTGGAAGTGCGTCTTTTAACTTAAAGGTTACAAGTGGCATGACAGTAACCCTAGCTGTATGGAACAAGTGTCCGAATCAGAAGGTTTTTGTGTTCAGCCCTGACCATGGACTTACAATATTTGACAACAACTATGCTGGTCGTCTTTCTGTAAAATCAAATCACAGAATTATACTGGACAAATTACAAGAGAGTGACTTTATGACTTACTGTTATGAACTCACCACTTTCCCGCATGGGAGTCTTCAAGGACAAATTAAGCTAGTGAAAACAACAGAAAATGGTGAGAATATTTATTTTATAAGGCATCTTCCTCAACATAGCACCAGGCATATTGCCGGTTAGCTAAAACTAAACCCATTTTTGTTATTACAGATGATATTTTTATTTATACAGAAATATAACCATTTTATGGCTGTTTACCTTCATTTAAGATTTATCAAGTATGAGGGACTTGACACAAAAGAGTCTTACAGCACTTTTCTGTTCAATAGTTAACCACTACTGGAAAGTATTCAATAAAAACTATACTCAGCAATAACAAACTCTTTCTTTGTTTAAAAGCAAAAACATAATACCCATAACATACATCTGAATCAAATGCGTCCTAAAGCTCTGACAAACTTCTTTGTGTGAGTGTGATCTGTAATTTATGTTTAAAGATTTGTTTTTGCATATTCTCACAGGTTTTTTTTTACTTTGTTGTAACTTTATAATTTGAGTATAAATTTAGTGATGCTTGTTTATGCATAGGCACGCATTTGTGCAATACTAAGAAACAGAAAAAAAATGAAACATTGTGTTAATCTTCTCTTAGGTGACATGCTCATCATGATAATCTCTGTGGGTTGCAGCATAGGTTTAATAGTATTATGTGGAATCATCGCTGGAGTGGTTTGCTATAAGGTAATAATCCCAAACTCATCCACATCCTAAAGAACAAAACAGAATCCACTGAATTCAACGCAACAACATATGACTGAGTGGTTTTGTGAATGATTACACAGAAATGCATTCTGCTTATGTTTCATGAATAAGGACCAATGTGTGTGCCACACTTCTTAGAAATAAGTCTTTGAATGTATTCTGCAAATGTGTTTTCGTAACATCAGGTTTCATGTTTCATTTGACGTTTAGAAGAGGAAAAGTAACTCCGCAGACACTGCATTGCAACCTGGAGGCCTTTCTGGCGGTCAGTCCTCTGTGCGGCTGAAAAATCAGAAGCGACCCAAGCGCATACGCTCACAGGATGAAGAAGAGGTGGAGACTGAAGACTGTAGTTACCTGAATATTAACTAACCTAACACAGTATGTCTATAATGGATATTACTAGATTTACAGATGCAGATCATTTTTTTAAATATACTTTTTGCGTTTAATAGCAAAAAAGAAGTCAGAAAAACCCCATGGGGAAAATAATCCCATGTGGACTGGTATATGCACGCATAAACTTTTATTGCTAGCTTTTAAAATAAACATTCTTACATTAATTTTTATTGTGTAATATACTATTTTTTTTTGTCTGTGGCAGTAAACGTTATGTCCCTTTCTTTTGTTTTGTTGTTTATGTTGTTCTTTTTCCATCATAATAACTTAAGAAAATATGATTAGGATGATAAGATGTTTATTGGCAGTTGAGTTTTAGTCACTGATCTGGCCTCAGTCAGATCAAAAGCAAGCCGATCCTAACATCATTATACTCTAGCTGAGTTGCAATTATGATTAAAGTCTCCTTTGTTGCCTGAACTGTTTCAAGTAATGATCATTGTAAATTGCCGAAGTCAGAAGTGTAACAAAAATCAGCTTAATTCGTCCTACCAAGATGCATTACCTTTGCTGTTCAGATGGTGGCAGTGTACAAGATTAAACGATTCTATGCAAGGTTTCGGTGCATTTGAATATCTCTGTGGATTTCTGTGAAATATTACTACACGCACAAGTATTATTTAACATCAATGTCATTAACTTAGCAGACAGTTTAACTTCTGTGACCAGAAATGCCAATAGTTGCATGTGGGACTTATTCAGTTTCTTCAGTTATTCAGTTAACCACAAGAAAAGTCACTTCCTGACTTCTGAGTGATCTTTCTAGATGAAGCAGCTCATCAGCAGGAGGAGCAGAATTATGTTTTTTTTTTTTTGCATTGTTTGAAGTCTGATTTCCACTCTGATCGTTTGTTCTGACTCCTTTCAAGTTCTGATGACATAATTTGCTGATTGACTGAATTAATCATGA